GAGAAGGGAGGGAGAAAGAGAAAGAGAGGACATTGATCCCGCCACAACCTAAGGATGTACCTTGACAGGAATCGAACCAGCGACCTTTTGCTTTGTGGGATGACACCCAATCAACTGAGCCACATTATTCAGGGTGTCAGGTTGTCATTTTGGCAGGTGTTTTTGATATGCCATCATCTCCCGCATCCTAAACAGTGTGCAGTTCTCGGGACTTGTGCTCCTTATGCCTTTTATCACCTCACAATGCAAGTAAATGCTGGTCACGGAAAAAACTGTACTCGGCATCTCAGCAGTGTCACAGAGAAAAGGTGATAAAGAGCAAAAATTAACAGAATGCACTTCCCGAATTTTAAGCCCCCTCTTATTTTATATGGATTTTTATTTACCTAAATAGGAAAACTTCCCATATTCTGTATATGCAGTAGCATATTTCAAGAACATGAATGTTAGTTGGTGAGAACTAAAACTATATTTTATTTTCCTCAACAAGATAAAAATTATTTAAGTATCTCTCTATGGGTTTTTTCCTAAGTGTTGTACCTAACAGGTTAAGAAACCACAAAAACCATTTAAGTATTTATGGTGTCTATAAATAATAGTAATACTTAATATCTAATATTGCTTTATTATATATTTACTCAATTAAATATTACAAAAGCCCTTGTAGCCAGAAATTATTTTTTCCCTCATTTTACAGATGAAGAAAATTAGGGAACATAAAGGGTGGATAATTTGACTATGGTTGCATAGCCGGATGTGGCAGATCCTGGAAACAAACCCAGCCCATGTGGTTCCAGAACCCACACACTTAATTCCTATGTAAGCTTTATGCTGGGGTGGGGGGACACTTGGGGAGTGGGGAGAGCAGCAGGGAGAGAGTAAAATGCTGCTAAGCAGCCCAATTTTATTATTCAGTAACAATATGTATTATCTTTAAATATTTTTGTTCTTTCCAAGTTTAAACTGACCTGATATATGTATGTGTGTGTGTATATACGTGTAAGTAGATATATATTGATAAATGTTTTACTCTGAACTATCCAGAATCTTTTCTCTAAAATGGAGAAATATACAAACACATTTTGAAAAGGAACTAAGAAAATACTTGTAGATATTTTAGAAGTCTTGGAAATCACAAATTTAGATATCATGAGATTAAAGAAAAATAGCCACAATTTTTTTTCATTATTCTGGGAACAAAAGACGTCCGTTTTGGAAGATAGTGAGTTTTCATTAATGCTGGAGCCCTTCGGCACTAGCGACGCAGCCTTAGCATCCCTTTGCCTTCTCTTATGCCCCCAAGTGAGAACTGAGTTATGACTGGTTGTCTTAGGAGGAAAATGTCTCTTACAGGACATAAGATGGGGCGGGGGCGGCAGGGCCGGGGGGGTAGGGTACTAAGGAAAGGCCTGACATGTAGCTTGTAAAGAGCAGCAGCTGTGGCCTGTTTTTACTAATATCTGACATGTTTCTTTGGCCACTCGCCAAATTGAGCTGTACCCAGCACTTCTCCCATCCTTCCTGTGCCTCCAGGATCCTTTGTGCCTGCTACTTGAGACTCCAGTCCACTCCAAATCAATCCCCTCAGTTCCTTCCTCCCCTTAATGTGCAGGCATCCCACCCTAATTAATTAACCCAACACCAACTTCATACAGGACCTTCCCACACTTTGCCCCTCATGCAGCCCAGAAACATCAGCACATTCCTTACTTCATCACTTGTCAACTCCCTTTCTGTTAAAGACCAGTGTCCCCTTTCCCTGACCTGGCCTCTGATTTGATCTCACTTTAAAGTATCCCACTTTAAGAGACAGTAACAAATGCTGCCTTTTTCCTGTTTGGTTTGTTTATTCACGTTCACCCGACCTATTATAATTAAAGACCCACGGACTTAGAAGAAGAGCCCGGGAAGATACTTTATGCATTTGATATGTGGATAAACTCAACTCTGGATTTGTAATGAAGCGTCCCTTTGCCTATTACTAAATGTGTGAACTTGGGTGAGTTTCTTAAGCTCTTGTCATTTGTTCAAATACTTACTGAGCACCCATTACTATGCTAGGTTCTGTTCTGAATGCTAGTGCTGCATTTTAAAATAACAAAAGTGAAAATAGCTACTTTCCGTGAAGCTTACAATTAAGGGAGGGGGATGACCATTAACAAATGGATACATTTTAAAATATGCATAGATATCAAAAATATAAAAAAGATAAGGGAAGAAGAAAAAGAAGTGCTGAACTTAAGAGTAGGAGGAAATGTGGCAACTTGGAATAGGATAATCAGAATCACCAGATGTGATGACCGACTGCATCTAAGGTGAGAGACTGAACCATGTGTATATCTGGGGTGGAGGGCAGTATTCCCAGCAGAGAAAACAGCAAGTGCAAAGGCCCTGTCTCCTTTGCCTGTTGTGTTGAAGGACCAGCAGAGTGAGCAGTTATAACTGGTGGAGAGCTGGCAAGGGGTAGGAGGTAATATCAGAGTAACAGGGATGCTAGAACATTGAGGGCCTTGCACATGACAGTGGGGACTTTGGATTTTTCTATGACTGAAATGGGAAGTCATTAGAGGGTATTGATTAGAAGAGTCACAGGATTTGACTCACCTCTAAAACTGGTGTCAGATGGATACTAGATTTATCAATGTGATCACTGTATAAGTTATATAAATGTTTAATCACTATATTGTACACCTGAAACTAATAGAATATTGTACATCAACTGAAATTGAAAAAAAACTCAACTAATTTCTCTTCAAAAAGAGAAAAATAAGAGCAGTTAAGACCAAGCTGGCTGCTCAAACCCCGGTGCCAACACTTACTAGCAGTGTGACTTTAAGCTCATCACTTAACTTTCTAAGCTTCAGTTTTCTTAGTTTAAGGTAGAATTGATAGTCGCTTCTATTCTCTAAGGTTATTGTGAAAAATAAATCGCATAGTACATCATGCCACAGAGCCTAACCATGGAAATCAAATACTTGCTAATATTTTCAGTCTGGTAAGAATCAGTGACAAAATGTACGTGGGGTACCTTGGCTGTTGCTCAGCACAGTAAGCGCTTACATGTTGCCTTAGCATTATCAACTACTCATCTGACGGCTGTTGGGAAATACTTTGTACATTTTAAAATTTAATAGTATCACCTTAAAAAAGAGAGTAGCAAAAATTCATGGATGATTTTCAGATGTCTCCGAGGACTGATACAGAATTAATTGAGTGCTATTCCATGCAAAGCACTCTCCCAGGCACTGGAAAGCCATGTGTACTCAGGTGAAAAAGAATATAGAGAGATATAGTTAAAGTGAGAGATAGAGATAGTGATAAGACAGAGAGATTCTTATCTTACAAAGATATCTTAAATATATAGCTTTTTTTTTAAAGGAGAGTTAGTTGAGACACAAATTTCTACATTTACTGATACTGTTTTGTGGAGAAACAATAACAGGTCTTCTGAAAGAAAAAAAAAAAGTGCACTGTCAACTAACTCCCTGGTCACATTACCACATCTGGAACCCACTCTTACCCGTTTCAGTGATTCCACACCTTTGGCTGCGCTGGGGGTTTTGGAGGCCTACTGGTTCTTCACAGTCCTGCTTCATTACCCAAAAGTTATGTGGCTCATGCCTCATTTCTTTCCTCGGACCTGGGCCACCTCATTCTGAGGGGGTAGATCTCATCTTCCTCTACCTGGCCCAACACACACACACACACACACACACACACACGCACACAGCATAGGCCTTTTAGGAAGTTCAACTACCTCTCCTAATGTAGTTTTAATAGCCCTTCACAAGAAGAAAAGAAAGATTAATGTAGAAGCCTGCAGTAGAGGGAGTCCTGGTTCTTTCCTGCCCGTCACACACCACCTTCTCAAAGGGCAGGCAAAATTTCATGTTTTTATTCTTATTTTACCCAATAAAAACCTAAGGATATCCTCTTAAAATCAGGTGGGAAATTAGCCTTTCATTATTGTTACTATTTTTTAAATATGATATTCAGCACTGGGCCAGGTATACTTTTAAAGGACATATGCTCAAAAAATATTATACATATATATATCATGTCTTTTTATATATAATTTAAAATAAAAATAAGGTTACAGTCTAAATACAGTTTTATCTTTCAAGCAATACAAAAGTTGCAGTATGGTGAAATTAAAATAGCTTCTTGTTAGACTTCTACTTCTCTATTATTTATTTTCTTCCTTCTTAGCCTACTTATTGCAGGTCCCTGCTTAGCTGATGCCCTGTGGAGGAAGCCCCAATCCGGTCTAAGCAAAGCCAGTGCTCTAGAATGTTCCCTTGCTGACTTTTCCCCTAGTAGTCAGCAACTACACTAAAAATCAGTTAAAGTTTTTTGCTTTATTTTAATAAGAACCATCAAACCATCAAAAGAGGTAGTAAAGGCAGGAAGAAGTCACATTTAGATCTTTATTAAACAGAGATGTATAATTAGAGTAATAAAATGCAAAACATCAAGAAATTGGGTGTGTCTTTTTTTAATACAACCTTAGGAAAGGCAGTTAGAAATCTTAATTTTAAGGACACTTTACTCCTAAATATATGGTATTTTATTTATGCAAAGGCCTGACATTGTTTTCAGGGACAAGTGGGAAAAAAAATGAAAACATAAGACAAGCTCTTCAGTTGTCTTTATCCTCCCAGCTGACCTGAGAACAAGTGAAAAGAAAATGTGGCCTCTTTAGGTCTCATGTGAGGATGCATCGGCTCCATTTTTCCTAATACACTCCTACCCTGTGTGTGAAGTGCAGGGAGGAAGGATAAAGCAGTGGCTTTAATGTCACAATCCAGGGCTTCTCCTTGCCTAGTTTAAAAGCAGTCTCTTTCACACAAATATTCAGGAGTTCTTGCTTTTTTAATTTATTGGGGTGGCATTGGTTAAAAAATTTATATAGGTTTCAGGTGTACAATTCTACATATGTGGAACCTAATGAACAAAATACACTGACAAACAAAATAGGAATTCTTGCTTTTATTTCCTCTCTTTCAGGCAAGATGTCTCTACAAGTTCTACCTCTCTCCTCTTCTCCTACAGAGGGCGCCATTTCCAGGGGGGCTCACCGCGATCTCCTGGGTTAGGGCTCTGGTTTTGGCGGAGAAAGAGGCTGTCTTGCAACTGTGCCGGGAGCCTTTGTGCCTTCTCTGGCCCCTTGTGCCCTGGCACCACTGGCCTATGCTCTGTTAAGTCGGGGGTTAATGGGGGCTCCCCGCTTCTGCGCTGCTGGCGCCCCAAGATGCCCACAGCAGTCTGTAAGAGCACTTCTCCCTGGGTGGAAAACCGCAACCCGCCCCTCCCTCTTGTTATCAGGTCTTTCCCAAGCCAAAGAAACGCCAGACCTGGATTTTCTGAAACCCGGGGAGAAAGGATGGGACACAGATATCCCATTCGCTTGCTGGATTTATCCTCTCCTCCCTCTGTTACCCTCCAAGGTTGGAGAGGGCGGGTTTCCCTCTTCTTGTCGCAATCTGTCCTTACCTTCATTCCCAGTAGCTTCAGCCACCCGTTTTCCTGGATCCATCAAGCAGGGAGAGAAATTTAGCTAGCCAATAAAAAAAACAATAAAACACTCATTGGGAAGTATTTCCAAAATATTGCACTTGTTTGCGTAAGTAGAGTACTGATCACCTATGTGTCGCTGGTTACAGGTCTTTCTCCTGCACACAGCTGGGAGCACGTGGAGAAGAGGGCTGCTTCCATTCCGTCTGAATCCTCAGGAGGTACATACACCACACAGCCCAGGCTTAACACAGAGCCACTCTATGACTGATAAATAATGATCTAAGTCAAGATCTGGGCCAGAGCTTTCATCTTTGTGTTCTTACTTCTGTTCGAATTTGACCCTGTAATTCAAAATGAAGCAAATATTTACTGTCTTGTTCGAAGTCTTTATAATATCACCTCATACACACGTACATACTTATATGCGCATATTAGTAATACTACACTGGATAGGCACCTATTTCTTGATTTATCGACAACATGAGGAACATTTTTTTGCTTCTTAAAAACTCTGAAACATTCCAGAGACTTTTTTTTCTTAATACAGAGGAAGTTCATTGTCTTAAAGTTCTGAAGACTAGGAGTTCGAAATCACGATGTTGGCAGGGCCTATGTCAGAATCAAGGTCAGAAGGCCCCGGAAGACTCTTCCTTGCCACTTCAAGTGCCTGGTAATTGCCAGCAATCCTTGCCATTTCTTGGCTTGTGACTTCATAATTCGAATCTCTTCCCATCTTCACATGGCCATCTTCCCTTTGTGTCTCTGTCCAAATTTCTTTAGGCTTATAAGGACGTCAGTCTTTGTATTAGACCCACCCTTATCCAGTACAACCTCATCTTTTACTTGATTACACCTGCTAAAACCCTATTTTTAAATTAAGTAACATTCACAGATTCTGGACAGACATGAATTTGGGGAAATACCATTCAACCCAGTACAACAATTACGGGAATTTTGATGCTCCAGTCTCAATAACTGACAGTATGAATAGACAAAAATCAATAAGTACATATCGACCAACTCAGCCTGACATATACAGAACACTGTAACCAACAACAGCAGAATGCATAATCTTTCAAGTGCACCTAAAACATTCATCAAAATAGGCCATATAAAAACCACATGACAATCAATCCCAAAGTACTGAAATTGTACACAATAAGGTTTCTAACAAAAAAAAAAAGGAATTAAAAATAAAGCAATAAGAAAAGACAAGTAAAACTTCCAAATATCTGAAAATTATAAACATACTCTAAGTAATTTCTAAGTAATTTTGGAATTACACAAAAGGCTTCTAAATTTCTTTTGTGCTTAAAGAAAAAATTATAAGGAAAAGTATAAACATTTTAAACTGAATGTTACTGAGTACATAAAGGATATGACATTCACGTATTACAAACTTATGTAGAATATTGGCATCTCATAAACATTTGAAATAAAAGACTAGAGATGAGGAATATTAAAGGGATTGGGGTAAGATGGTTTCATCAGCTGTCGTTAGATAAATGACCTTTATGTCAATATTTGTGTGTTGTTTTTTTTTGTTTTCAACATAGCTTTTATTTTATTAAAATATTGATTCCTAAAAGTTAGAACATCTACCTGTATCCTATGGGCTTAAATATCCCCTTAGACAGAAACAACCAAGACTTTCAAGTTTTTTTAAAAAACTATATGCATATTTGATAGTGTATATGTGCATATGTACATATTCTATATTGCATATAAAACATATCCATTTGTCGCAGTTTCTAACCTGTGATCTATGAACAGAGAGGTATGTTGAGCCTTGCTGAATATTTAAATTTTGCAGTTGGTTCTCTGTAGAGCTCAACAGCTTTTATTGGATTCTTAGAGGAATTCATGAACCTAAAACTCTAAAAAACAACTTTAGAGATTAAAGTGTATTTCAATGCTACTCTTTACGCTCCATATTCTCTTCCCCCTAGTGACATGTTAGTGTTGTACTCTGTTATTGACGTTTTGGATGCCTAAGTAGGAAACATTGCGAAACATTGAGAATAATCCCTTTAATGCAAAGAATGGCCAGATGTGATAACATAATACAGTCCTGTTGAAGACTCTTGACTTGTTTAAAATTTAAGTAGCATTACATCTCTATTGAACTGGCTTAGAAGAAGCATGGAAACAGCTTTTATGCTGTCTATGAGGCCAAAAAATAAATGCAATTCTGCACATTTTTTATTTGAAAGTATTCACAAATGACATGCAAGGCATAAACGTTGGCCAAAAGCCACAACTAAGCATTGTGTTTTAAAAAAAAAGAAGAAAAAAGAAAAACCTGTATTTTTTAAGCCAAAACTATTTAGGAATCAGTTCTTCATTTCCTAATTATTAAATTTTCAACAAAACCAGAAAAAAATATGTCCAAAATGATGTGCTTTAAATATCATCTTTCAGTTAACTAATCATGACAACTTTTAAAAATTAAAAAAAAAAATTGATCAATGGGCTATGTAAACAGTCACACAGGACTAAAGAGGACTCTTCTACTTGGAATAACAAGAAAAGTGTGCTACAGAAAGCTTGGTGAGATGCTTGAGAAGTGAAATTAATGAGATAGATGTGTACTAAGAGAAATGATTCTACACACATGTTCTGAATGCTTCTGCTTAGATTAATGTTTTCCTGTAAATAACACTGGTTATCATCGAGTTCAGGTCAAACAATGCAGCTATAATGATGAATCTACCATAAGTGAGGTATTTTGTCATTCAGAGCCAAGATATGAAAGTTTTTAGAAAAATACTAAATGAGCAAAAACACTTTGGAATCTTCAAATACAGCACATGTAAAAGTTTTAACCTAAGTGACAATGGATAATGAAACCTGAAAACAAATACAAATTTTTTAATGTCTTCAAGATATAAGTGTCAGCATTATAGAGCATGGAAGAAACACCTACTGTATTTCACATCCTATCTAAATATATATGGCTCTCCTCTGTCTCAGAATAAAATGTCTGCCACTCACCCTTAATTATGATGCCAACATCCATGTTGGATCCACTTCCATCTTGAAAAGGTTTATTGAGATGTACGTGAGTAGGTATCTCTAACAAACCTCAATAATTTGCTTTCAGAAGAGGATAGTCTAGAAGTGACATTAAAACTAAAACATTGTCTTTGAACAAACAAGTCAAGATGCATCAGTGCATTTTTCACATCATGTGCTTTGCTTCAGGGTACCTTCAGGGGTTTAGTTCACTTATTTATAACTGTATAAGCAAGTATAAGTGGAAGATTTATGATTCCAAGAAATAAGACCCTCAGAACGCAATGTCACGTTCTCCTGCTCTCTGCAAGTTGGCCTTCAGTATTAGGAACATCCAATGGGCCATGTCATCAGCCCTGATGCTTTCTCTTCCCTGACTATCATGGGTCAGCTCATAGAATTAACAAACCCACACTCGTAAGCTGTGTTTTCTAACTTAGTTTGACTCTAAGTGCTCCAAGCTGTCATTTGGGTCTTTTGGTTTTGTTCCCACTCCCCAGTAGTGAATCCCAAATGACAGAAGTACAAGGAGAAAAACTGAGGCATTCTGAGTAATGGTGTTTCACAATCCTAGTTATTCTCAATAAGGAGTCACACCCTCACAGTGTCACGATTTTTGACCAGTACACAGAAGTTGTAAACTCATAGGTCTACAGGGCCAGGTGGTTTCTATGAGGCCAGTAGAGAACAAAAAGTTTGTGGCCCTCAGAAAATGGGCAATTACTGTTCGAATTCATTGGTCAACTTATGAACAAAAACAAAAAACAAACGAACACTGAGTGTGTCTTTTCAAAGTTACTTCAAGGCAACCTAGATATCTGATTTTTATGTGAATATTCCTGATTGCTAAATGCCTACATTAATTCTACATTTTTTAACTATTGTGTAAGCCTGTAGGCCTGGCATGAGAGCAAACATTTCACAAATATGTGACCTCTGGAATAAGACCTCTCCAAACCTTCGTCAGCCATGCGGCCATGTGAACTTGGACGAGTGACTTCAACTGTAGGATGGATGAGAAGGTTACCTTAGCAACGACCCCGGGGGTGCTTTGCAGGGTGCGTATTCGTGGAGTCTGAATTATAATCATCCCCTCCACATCCAGTACCAGCTCTCATACAAGAGCGTGGCTCCTGATCCAGCCACCAAATAAAGGGTCAAGGGTGCCTCAGTCTGTCAAGACCCAGTGTGACTAGCTCTCTGTACTTGATTCCACAACACAGATTTTTTTAATTTAATGTAAAGAAAAAAACTTTGCACTTCTAGTTACCAAATCAACTAAAATTTACTGTAGAAAAATTAGTAAATACAGATAAATAAAGGGAAATCTCTTTAAACCATTCCATTAGTATCTTGATATGGAGTCTTTTAAATCTCTATGTGTATATATTTTTTTAAAAAATGACATCATACCAAATGCATTTTTTTGTTGTCTGACTTTTTTTACTTAATACATTTATTCAAGTAATAGTGATTCTTTAAAGGAGTAAAAATGTAATTCTCATGATAAGCTTAATTTGAATTTTCTTTATACAACATAAGCACGAATATGTCTAACTGGTCAGAATCAAAAAAACAAAACAAAACAAAACAAAACAAAATGCAAAGCAACCTTTACCTCCCAAAACGCAGCTTTCCTCAAATCACCCATTAATTTAAAGATAGAACTTTCAAAATGTTCAGAAATCTAGGAGTGTTATTCTCTGATAATAGAGCCTTAGAAATCTAAGTGAAAACAGGACAAAATGCGTTCATTATATCATGACGGATATTATTTCGCTATAAGAGCAAATTCCTGGAGGTTATACGTTGTTAGTCTGAGTAATGAACCTGGAGAGAATGGGGATGGAGAGGGGGGAGGGCCACCGCACCGCCTCCGACAAGTCTGCAGGGCGTCTGTGATTAAAGCAAGAAAAAATAAGCACAGTTCCTATATGATGATATTCAATAAATGTTATTATTTACCATAAACTAACATAATAAAATATGTTAATAATATAATAGATAAAATCCCAGTATTTTGAATTTTCTTTTTTACTAAATCTCTTACTAATTAAAAATAATATAACATTTTAAACCATTAATTTGTAATTCAGCAGTGGTACAAATTTGTGTTCACATTTTCCTAGAGGACATAATTAGTAAAATAAATGACCAAGAGACTAAGTCAGAGCTGAGGAAGAAGTCCACATTTTATAAGATTATATCTTTGTTGAGTCTCCCTCTATTTCTTCCCCTTCTCTTGACCAAAAATCACTTATAAAAGCACACAGCCAAGAGCAGATGAGTTGCAAAGCAAATGTTAAAGGACGTATATAATACAGCA